ATTGTTAACAATCACCCTGTTAGACTTATAATATAATTTGGTTTTACTTTTAAACAATATATCGAAATGATTACATAATCGAGTACTGAAGATCGAGTGCATATAATGACGCACTTGCTCTTGTCACTCCTTTTCCTCCTACCTCCACCATCTCCCCAACCCTCCTCCCTCAACGCTATGTTGTTGCTCTTGTTCTCTCCAGCTCAGTCCTCTGCCTACAAGCATCCTCCAGCAGGCACACTGGCTGTAACCACCTAGACAATAAACATTGCTGCATTTGTCTCTCTAATCTGCCACTGTGTTGCCCACACTGAACCTCAGATCCTGTGACGACACGACCCAGCTGGCTACACTGTCCTTCAGTGTAAATTGTAAGCAGCCAGCCCACTTCATAATAACGTGCACAATAGTTGCTCATCCCTTTCCTCCCAATTTTTTGTCTCCTTTTCATCCCTCCCGCTCCTCGTTCTGCCTCTTGCGTTGCCTCTCCTTCATTGTCCTCCTTTTTATTATTCTTACCTTCTTTTTTACAGTTGCATTCGCGCATCCACATTGTTGATCAATACTGAACAACTTTGCTAATAATTCGCATACTTCTCCCCACTCTGCAGTGCAAGCAATACTCGACGAGCACACGCTCGCAACAATGTCCATGTACAACTACTCCCAAGGCGCAATCCTCTCTCCAATCCGACGCGCACATTCTTCCCCACCCGTCCCATGCTTGGCATCACCCTTGATGGGTCCACACTGTGTGCGTTTACTTTCCCCAGTGCTGTGCATGACACCATTTCTAACAGAAGCAGTGACCCTCCACTCCCCTCTCAGCCGAGTCCGTCCGCCTTCCACTTCACCTTCACCTTTCGAGCCGGAACGTCCTAGAGATACACCTTGCAATCAATGACTCAGTTTACTACACCTCCCATCGGACACTGTAGATAAACTATAGAGTGCATGCACACAGACACAGTTTTGTCTGCAGTCTGAATCAACTCGTTCAACACTCCGGATCTCAACCTGCATACACTACTCACACTCACTGCACGCCATTGCTGTGCGTCCATCTTTTCTTTCTTATTGTCACTCGCTAAATCACTCCAAGTCTGTTTCACAGGCACAGCCTCAACCTCCAAAACCTGCTCGACCTTGCAATTCAACTTGCAGGGACTGAGCAACAACCAAGGCGTGGTGACGAAGACTACTTTGTACAGCCCAAGAATGCATTAATCCTTTACCGACGCGAATTCCGCTTGCAGAAGAACAAGGCAGAGGCTGCTAGTGATGTAGGGATTGGGACTGTAGAAATAATATAATATTCACTATCTTTTTGTTTTAAATAATTAAATATAATTACATTTTATTAATTATTCAATACAAAACTG